CAGCTCATGGTGTCCGACACCATCAGGTGGTCGAGAGACATTTATATGGAACACGTCACAGGACACCGTCAATACCACATTGAGTAATTGAGACCGCCGACCAGGGAAATAGCCCACTTCCTTCCCTGACGAACCAAGGGACGCACCCCACCCGTGTACTCATTTGCTGCACCGATACTGACTTGGACTCCTTATAAATCCCATGGGTGGCGTACCTGAGCCCACCTATCCACTGACACTTTAAAAAAACTCTTGCACCCCAATCTGGGTCTATGCCGGTTATGTGATATGTATGTATCACTTCATCCTTGCAACAGTTACCTGTAATCCCTCATAACTCAAGCCTGACCCCAGATGTACAGTACCTTCCCTCTTAACTTGTGTATATTTAATTTTAAACATTAACTTGAATAAAAATTTTAAATCTGTTCTTATCTGGACAATGACTGATGGTGGTTCGACACCCGCCCGGGTAGTTTATCCCCTTGGTTATTGTCTTTGGGGAGCTAGTATCTGGGCGCTTCCCACAGCATATTTTAGTGACAGCCATATAACACAATTCTCATAACTTCATATGCATTAATGATACATATATTTAGATGGAACAATGGGTTTCAGCAGATCATAACCTTTCCCATGATACCTTACAAGGCATGCTTTGTATGCAATATCACAACTATATACAAATGATGAATATGGGGGTTATAGGGCGCTCCTCTGGAGTGTAGTGTGTCACACAACCTTAAAAAAAAAAGGGGAGGCGATTGGGGGGGACAAAGTACAGGTTAGGCTGCACCTTTAATTTTTCATCATGGTAGTATTTGATTTCCACCTTGACTAATCTATATATTGGTCTTCTTTCCAAAGCCATGTGCTCATAATGATGAACAACAGTTCCACGCTTGGGATGTTTGCTGGTCAATGGTTTTTTATCTAGATAGAGCAAAGCACTTTTGGGTCTATTTTCAGCTATTCATCTCCTGGGCAGAACGAATGAGAGTGTCCTGTAACGGTGTAGTGACTATCCAAGTGGATCACCAGCTGTGTTTTCATGTGCTACAAGATCAAGGGCCTAACATCTTCTCAAAAGAGCTCTCTGCATTCAGCCAGAGCACACGCAGCTTCTGCAGTATTTCTGGGAAGCATCGATATTGTGAACATCTGCAGAGAGGCAACGTGGTCTTCAGTCCACATCTTTGCTAGATATTATGTGATTACTACCACGTCAAGAGAAGACACAAATGTGGGGAAAGCAGTTCCGCAGTCCCTCTTCTGATGAGAATCCTAGTCCCAGCTCTGTTGGAAACTACAAGGGAGTCTCCTAGTATAATGGGCATGTGCAATCGCTTGAAAAAATGGTTACTCCTTGCAGCTGCTCTTTTGAGATGTCTTGCATATGTTCTTTACGTGACCCACCCTCCTTCCCCAGTGCATTGGAGCGTCTCATCTGAGGGCTTGTCTGCACTTGAAACGCTACAGTGGCACAGCTGCAGATGCACTTCAAGTATAGATACTACCTATGCCAGTGGGCGGGGTTCTCCCATCAGCACAGGTAATCCATCTCCATGAGAGGCAATAACTAGGCTTCCCTCAACCTAGCACTGTCTACACTGGGGGTTAGGTTGGCTTAACTACGTTGCTCAGGGGTTGGGATTTTTCACATCACTGAGCGACATAGCTCGGTTGACCTCACTCTTTGGTGTACACCAGACGGAAGAAGATACAGTGTGAAGGTACTGAAGGTAGGCTGCGGTGGCTCCACCCTGGTAAACCCTCTGCTCAGGGCACACAGCATGCGAGGGTGCAGGTGTGGCCACCCCTGTGGGTATCTCTAGGGAAAACTCTGGCACTGATGCATGAGATGTGTACGCACCTAGTGTAATGGACATATGCAAAATATATCAAAACAACAGTTACAAGAAGGTAAGTAACTGGTTTTTTTGTTGTTGTTGTTTTTTTTAAGTAGTAAAGAATAAAACTTCAAGATGGAGTCAGTTCTCTTACTTTTATGTTAACCAGTGTGTATTTGGATTTCCTGTAGAAAAGGGCATCTTTAAACTCTGGAAACCAATGGTGAAACTAGTGCTTAAAAATGCTGAATATGTTTACCCTTGGAATAGCTTTGTAATATTTCTAAACTGGAGTGTATTTCCTTTGTTTGTCACAGCCACATTTTATGTTCTGATCCACAGGACACAAATTCTGTTTAATAGGTGATGAAATGGGTTGGGGAGAGGGATAGCTCAGTGGTTTGAACATTGGCCTGCTAAACCCAGGGTTGTGAGTTCAATCCTTGA